TGTGAAGTTTGGAGTGTAAACATTATTGTAAATACCAGTTTATAATTTATCTTTGCATGGTATCAATCATCTGAGGTCTCCTGAACCAACTATATTTGTTGGAGGAGGATTCAGAGCTCTGGATCCAAATAACTCAGTGGCCAAAGTGTATTTTGTGAAGGATTTAGGATGACAGGGAGCAAAACAAACAAAAGTTTGTTTTCATGAGATATCTGAGACCTATGCCTATGTGCAACATACAAGGGGGAGATCAGCATTCACAGAAAGCCTGGTCAGACTGAGGAAGAAGGTCTAGAACACCTCTCTGAGCAGTATATTTTCAGGGGAGATGAAATGCAGCAGTAAGTGGTATGAATTCAAGTGGCCTGTGGACAACCAAGAGAAGAAACCCTAAACCAGGGGGGAAGAAAATCAAAGAGAATCTGCAAATCAATATTATAACTCATACCAATCTTTGTTTTTTATTCTTCCCCTTTCCCTTCTCCTTGCATTTACGTTTTCCTTCACAGTCCCTAACAAGTGGGCATCCCAGTTGGAGTCAAATGCAAATGACTCACTCAGCTGTCCACCTGACTATCAAGTTCTGTGATAAGAGAACCAGTCCAATGGCAGGAGAAGGAGACCTCAGTCAAACCCTTTCTGTCACACCACATCTTCAGAAGCATACCCTTGTGAGGTTACCCAGTGACACAGCACTCAGATTACCTCCACCTCGCTTTTGTTTTGTTTTGTTTTTTTAAGAAAGAAAAAGAGAAACGGTAGAGGAAAAAAAGATGTTAAAATATCTGGGACAAAAATGATCAGTATGTTTTCTAGAGTTGGAAATTGCTGTTTTAATTCTCCCTTTGGGTAGTGTTTAGGTAAAGGGATTTGAATGATCAGTAAACTAATTTTCAAGTCACTTAAGCATGCCAAAATACACTGACACATGGGAGAGTGAGGAACTATGATGCAAGGAAACACCAGTCACTTTTCTACTGTTGCAATTAAGGCATCACACACCGTATCAAACTGTGAGTGATTAACTCAGTATTAGCTTTTAGGAATGCAAAAAAATTACATCCATATAGAAGTATTTGGTGTTCAAGGATAAGAATTTCAACACTAGAGAGGTGCAATGATATAATGAGAGAAATCTAGTATCATACATTAAAAAAATCTAAACCTGAACAAAAATCCATGCCTGGTGATATACTGGATTTTGTGTATTTTTTTATTTCATTCTTTGTAACCAGGCTATAGTCTCAGTCAATAAATATCTGAACATATGAATTGAGTCCAGTATTCCTTAATCAATATACTTGTGCATTTCCTCTAATTCTTTGAAGATTGAGAAGTGGCCTAATGATTGATTAATGTTTAATGATTGAGAAAAGGCCTAACAAGCGAAATTACAGTTGTAGATGTTTGGAGCCATATGAGATTTTAGAAATTGTGTCTCCAACCCTCTCATTTTATCAATGAGAAAATAATGTCAACTTTGAGGATTAGAATAGATCAAATTTGGTTAGATTAAAGTGAATTTTCTCTTGTATGTTTTCCTAGTAAACTATGAATTCCATGAAGGCAAAGACTAGGTATGTATAGTAAGTGTATATGCAGTGTCTATGCATGTATAAATGCGTGTGTGTATGTATACAGTATATAGTAGATATATCATAAGTGCACACTAAATGTTGAATGAATCAGTGAAACTCATCTTGACTTGCTAAGATCTCAAAGAAATTAGGATCACAGCATCTTGAATCCTAGCATTCTCTAAATATTCTTATTCTCAGAACTCTTGTATTGGAACATAGGAAAATGGTCAAGTACCAACAAAAGCCCTTCTCAGCTTATACAAATTTAGGTTTTATATTTTAGCCCTACTAATTAATTTATAATATTTATTTCTTCAAATAATAATTGAATTTCAAAATCTTAAGAAAGTTATTATAAAGCTTTCCCAATAAAACAGTCATATTTTAAAGTCCATACAGTAAACCATTATTTTCTCTTTTTAATGGAGATGTTATTTCTTGTAAAGAAATTTTAGTATAAGAAATAACCATACAATCATGACTCATTATTACCTGAAATCTAGTATCTATTGGTAAAGCCATTTCTTCAGAACAAAATTTGTGTTCACCATTAGCTTGCAGAAAGAGAATCAAATCTGTTCTATGATTATAGCTTTATAAAAGTAATCTGCTGTATGGGGTTTTCAAGAGCAATATAGTATAAGAATTTCTTTTGGTTCTTTTATCTAAATGTGTAAGAACCTTGCTTACTGTTTATATAACCTGGAATATGATTTCTCTGTCCTATTGCCTTACTGGTAGCCAGAACCTTAACAAGTACCTATAAATGGTCATTTTATATTTTATAGTTATTTTCAGTTTTATGTACAGAAATCCTAACCATTGGGGCACCTAGATGGCTCAGTCAGTTAAGCATCCGACTTCAGCTCAGGTCATGATCTCATGATTTGTGAGTTAGAGCCCCGCATGGGCAGAGCCTGCCTGGGATTCTCTCTCTCCCTTCCTTTGCCTCTCCCCCACACATGCACAGGTGCTTTCTCTCTCTTCATCTCAAAATAAATAAACATGAAAAAGAAAGAAAAAAGTCCTAGCCATTTGTGTACAAAAACATTAACACCACAAAATATTTTCATAGACTGTCAATTTAAAAAATCAGTTATGTTCAGTAATTGCAATAGTATATAGAATAAAAATTTTTAAATATGGCTCAGTTCCTTCTATATCAAGTAGAAGCCTCAAGTAAAATGAATGGCATGAATGTTTAATTTTTTTTAAAGATAATAATACTAATTATTTAACTAAAATCTTCCCTTTTAAATAAATTTTGTTTCTTAAAATGGTAATAGTCAGGGCCAAAGAGTAATATATTTGAGAACTTTTCTTCTGTTTCAAACAAAAGAACATCAAAATATAATACTGCTTTTGTTTTTCTCTTCATCAACATCGGGAATAAAAACAAAACCAAACAATGTTTTGGCCATCCAGTTTCTTTCTCCTTGGTAACCATCCAAGAAGAATCCAAGAAGAATCCAAATTAATAATTTATAATTCCATAAAAGCTAGGAAATATGATAACAAAGAGAAGGAGAGAAATATAAATGGCTTTCCAGTGCCTGGGCTTGCTGCATTCATTTTGAAAAGCTAATGAACAAGTTAAATTTTCTAGCAGTTCAATGTTCCAGATATAGCCACAAGAGGATAGAAATAGGAGTGTTCACATTTGGTTGTTGCAAGCACTGCATATTACAGAAGAGTACAGGCCGGAGTATTTGTATACACATAGAGAAATCAGTTGAAAATCCAATTTTGTGAAACAGGAATTCCCTTTTCAGGGAGGTAAAAAATCCATATTTAAATATAGTCAGCATCCAAGGTCATTCAATAATACCTTATTCACATTTCAGAAGAAAACATTCATCTTTTACTAGAGTAGACTTTTATGGAATATGACCACACATACATACACATAAAATAGCTTGTATCAATTTCTATGTTCTGTCCTGGAGGAAAGATGTGAGGCAGGTGAAAACTCTAATAAACATAAGTCATTAAAACAAGAGAAATCATAATGTGTTTTCCAAATTTCATTCATTAAAAACCTACAATAATTGCAAAGATCTACTTGACTGTGAGTTTGCACTCTCTTAATTTGAATGGTGTGTCTGTAAAACATTTAATATTGTTGCAAATTAAAATATAGTTTTTAGGGAATTTTTATTTATCTCTGGTTATTTTCCTTTAGCTCATTTTTTTTAAGTTCACTTATTTTACTCCTTCTAATTTTAAACATGTTTTACTACTTCTTATCCAATACAGGGACTAAAAATAAAAAGGCTAACAATTTTAGAGACATTTCACCTAGGTTCCAAAAGACAAATTTATTTGACAGAGGCAATTCTGATCAAAGTCACAAAACAGGGCTTCACCAGATTTTTTTGCAAAATTTGGCAAGGAACTGTATATTGAGTGAAGTAATAGTTACTGACACAGAGTTAGATCCTATGTAAATGTTATATCACTACTTTCTCATGATAAATCAATAAGGAAAGCATTAACATTCATATTACATGGATATAGAAACTGAAGTTTGTTGAGGTCAGAGACCTTTCTAAGATCACATACAGCTATTAAAAGAAAAAGCTAGGATAAAAACTAGAGTATGATTTTCTCTAAGACTCGTATAAATTCCCTGCTGTCTCCCAGAGCTTAGACACTAGTTAGGCTGAATTCCCCCTCACTGAGGCCCAGGAATAGTGAAATTATTTACCTGGGAGCATACAACCAAGTGACGAAAAACAGTCAGGCCAAACCAATCCTTGTTTGCTTCATTGTACTATGTGGCTTTAGCTGATTTTCAAACCCAAAGCACACTTGAATTAAGGAGATGTTTCTAGAAAACTGATTTCTGGCATTAGTCTCCTTATCTTCAGCTACATCTAGCCTACTTTAAGTCCATTTGAAAGTTTTATCAACTTTCCAGGCCAGGAAAACATTAATCAATGGATAACACTGCTTCATAAATATAACCTTATTGGACCTCAAGAAGGTCCAATGCATATATTTACAAGTGAGAAATAGAGATGATGATGAAATATTTCATTCTAACTAATCTGTCAGGAAACAAAGTCTCTGTTCCACCTCTCTCAAGGTGAAGACGTTATTCGTCCCTTCATTCAATTGCTCTTCTAGCACATTATGTCCTATGTAGTGACTACAGGTATAGACATTTTTGTTTCCCGCTGGAATAGACTTTAATCACTGTCACATTTATAAAACTGTGTGCTGTTAGTAAAACAAATGCTTCCTTTAATTAATTCAAGTGTGGTTGAAGAAGATGCGGAATCGATTCCACTTACTCCCTGTGCTGTTCTGGAACATTTCTTCACATGGAAACCACCATGCCTTCCAAGAAGGCGAATGAATGGGTAAGTGAAAATCACACATGTAAGTAATGAAAGAGTGAAACTTTCCATTACTTACCCTTGAATTAACCACTTCCAGGGAGACGTTCTGAGGCGGGGCACTTGGCACTAAAAGGAATAAAACAAGGTGAGATGGTTATTGCCAAAGTCATAAAGGAGAAACTACAACCCCCTGTGAAAAGAGAAAGCATGACTTTCACAGTTCATGATGATAATTAGGTAGGCTGATCCAGGTGGCACTTCAAAATTTTCCTGGAGAGATGAAAAATAACTGCATCTGTTTATTTTTTTCTCACTTGGTAGGCCAGTTATCCATATAGGGAGCCCCCGAAACTGTTAGGTAAGAGAGCACCTGCCGTGATACCAAATACTGCCATTTAATTACAGCTTTCTTGTTATTACCTTCTCAGAGAAGCCAATAAAAACACACATGAGATTTCCTGGAGTGGTTTTAAAGGCTTAAGATATTGTGCATTTCAGGATCTGCATGGTTTTATTATAAAATATGTCACTCTAATGGTCACTCTTGTTGCTTAATCCTCTTAATGCAATCTTTATTATCTCTTAAAAAGAGATAAGAAGAAATACATCCCTCTTTTTATCTGCATGTAATTAAACCTGTGTGATAGATACAAGCAGGTTATCAGGTAACATTCGGTGAGTCAATTCCACGAACAAACAGGTAGTTTATTTTTCTTTGTGGATTTTCTAGGTATTTTTTTTTCTCTTGCCTGCATTTTGACTGCTCGATTCCTTCATGGAAAAAGGAAGAATATATACAACTTTCTTTATAATACTTGTAATGAATATTTACTATATAAAAAGTGAATATTCTATTGTGTGAATAATTCAAAGACAATCATTCACTAAATAGCTATTATGTGTCAGACTCTATCCTAGATGTCTTAGATAAATCATAAACAAAATAAAGTTTTTTGCCCACAAAAGAAATAGACGTAGCATTCAATAAATGCTTAACATATATTAGTCTGTAAAATGTAGTCCCTATTTTGTTCATGACAAACTGATTAACAGAGAGGAACTGCTCTTAGCATTTTCAAGAATTTAAAGGCCATTTTCCGTCACGTTGCCCCTTCTTTAACTTGAACTTGGACAAGATCTACATTTCTATAGATATTTCACCCTGAATTCATTTATGCCCTACTCTGATTTTACTTTGTGAAAGTAATCACCATGAGGGTATGATATATATCTGATTAATTTTTATAGCCTCCAAACTGACACTCAACTAATATTACTGACTCAATGATTACATGAACAAATAAATACGTACTTAAATATTATCTCCTGGGCCTTTCTGGACACCACAAGAATTATCATAACTTTTTTCGATTTTGAACTTCTTATCTTAGTAATTGATAAAGACTGTGGCGATGTAGCTTGTAATAAAAAGCACTCACTGGAGTCTTGTTTTCATGAATTAGGTCAATAGTTCTTTCACAAAATATTTTATAATTTAAGAAATAGATTTTATTATTCAACTACTTTAGTTCCCATTATATTTCTTTTCAAATAAAATATATAATTCCCCACAGGGACTAGGATTTTTGTCCCTTTAGAAGCTGAATCCTCAGTATCAATAAGAGGGTCACATTCAGCAAACATGTGTTGAATTAACTAATTAACAGATTATAAGACATAATAAAACTCTTTTCATATTCAGAGTTTTAGTCATAACAAGCTTTCTTTTGCAGTTTTAGTTTTTTAATTAAGGTATAACATACATATAGTATAATGCACAAATCTTGTATGGAGGGTTGGATAAAATTGTATGTGTGTGGGTGTGTTCACATTTAAATATCACCTAGATCAAGATATAGAATATATTCAGTATCCTGGAAAGTTCACTTGAGTCCCCTCCCAATTAATACCCTTCTAAGAGTAACTACTATTCTGACTTCTGACACCATCGATTAGCTAAGCTTGCTTTTGAGCTTACTAAAAATGAAATCAGTTGTTATTTCTAGGCTGGCTTCTCTTGCTCATCATTATTTCTTGAGATTCATTCATTCTGTTGCATCTAGTAGTAGTTTTGGTGTTTCTGTTTGTTTTTTATTGATTCTATGTATTATAATATATAACTGTTCTATTTTATATTTACTCATTCTATTGATGAATGGCATTGGATGACTTTAGATTTGGGGCTGTGAGATTAAATCTCCTATGAAAATTTGTGTACATGTCTTTTGATGAACAACTGCACTCATTTTCTTCTTTATATACCTTTATACACCTAGCAGTGGAAATACTGGCAGCCACAGAAACCTCTATGGTGGTTATGCATATGCTAAGTTTTAGTAGATAAAATTTTCCAAAGTGGTCTCGCTAATTTACACTCCCACTAAGAATGTAGCAAATGTCCAGAATCTCTATATTCTTACCAACCTTTGTTTTATCTGAATCTTTTTCATTTCAGTCATTTGGTAGGTATGTCATGTTTTTATTTGATTTTTTCCTGAGGACTAGTAATGTGAAGCATCTTTTCACATTTTTGGTGACATTTGAATGTCCTTTATCGTGGAGTTCTAAAAGTATATGTGTTTGTTTTTTTTTTTTTTTTTTTACAGCTAAGTTTCCTTTAAAACTCATGTCTAAAATTTTCATTCCCTTATCTTATATTCCATTTTCATATTACTATGATTAAAACATTAAGATTTTTTTCCCCTAAAGCTAAAATAGTCAGAAGGGCTCTTCCGCATTTGGCAAACTTCGTATCTTCTCCACTCTTCTCAAACATTATATTAATGAAATGGACTTCCCTAAACTACCTTCACAGACCCGTGGGCAACCCAGTCCAGTCTTCAGGAAAGGGGAGAATGCAGAGGCTTTAATAAGACCATCTCCACATTCTGTTTCTTTAAAAGAGGAAATATTAGAGTAGGCTGAAAATAATAACAATGTGTGTGATCAGAAAAACTAAACAGACTGTCATTCTCACAATGAGGAAGAATTTAATATAATCCTATTCAAATTATTCTATAAAGCATTGAAAATTAAAATAGGCACCAACTGAAAAATGCTAAGTGCTCCATCATATAATTTCACAAATTTGTAGCACATGGATTGTTCTTGCCTTATGTGATCAGGAAAAAAGTAAAGAGCTTATTCTATAGCATTTTTAGTTATCAATCCACACTCCCTCCCTCTCACCATCAATTCCCATATTACTGAGACTTAAATAGACACAATATATAGAATCAGATGTTAGGTGGAAGCAAGTGGAATCTATATTTTTTTGAGCTTTCCTTTATTTGACTTCCCGAGATGTTTTATTGTCTCATGAAGCAAAGAGAGAGGCCATGGTTCACTGTTTTGTCTTCAAAATGTCAAGCAATTTATCATTTATAATAGGTTGGTTAGGACCACTCAGAGATATTTGGTCTAGAAACTACCCTCAATATGGTGGAGCATGCTGGTTTGATACATATGATGATGATATATTCTGTAAGGTAGATAAAGTTCCCACATTTGTAAATGAATCTCCATATAGACAGGCACTTGAATTCTTCTCCTTACCAAATGTACGCTGTCCTATACACATAATTTATGGATTAAATAATTCATATATAATTATGAGCTTTGTACTTTCAGCAATTAATATAAGAAATTCATTACAGAATCAGAGAAACTCAAGGTGTTTCACATTAAACCTTGCTTCTTATTAGCTTGGGCTCTGACTCTGCTGCTTACTAGCCTAGCTTTTGAGACCTCTTTCTAATATTAGTTTTGTCATCTGTAAAGTAGGAAAAAATTATAATATCATGAGGATTAAAGGTTATTAATGCAAAATGATCAGAACAGGGCCTTGTACTAAGAAGTCCTCAGTAAATACCAGTGATAACAGTAAAAAGCACATTTTTATAATGAAGTTTGTCTATGAAATTGGGTCCCTCTGCTTGTGGGCACAGAGCAAGGTGGCATGGAAGCTCATAAATATCAGTTGATTCATAAAATGTTTTAATGACCTACACTTGTCAACTAGTTCAAGAGAAAATATCTGGGAACAAACTGGTGAAACTAGTTACATTCCATGCTAAATATTAGGCTGCCTAGATCTGATGTTCTACAATCTCAAATGGCTTAAAGAAGCAGATTGTTTATACGAATGGTACAGTAAGTGGAGGAATTTGAATGAAAAGCAAGTTTTCTTCCCAGATGAACAACTAAAAGCAGGCTAAATTAGAGATGAGAACTTTAAGGATAGAAATCTTTATAAGCATTTTAGCATAACAGGAATACCATTGCAATAATTCAGAAAAAAAAAACCACTATATGTGTTTCATTGTTGCTCTTATTCAATTTTTCTCTGGTCCCAATATCAATTTTTATGGTAAGGATTCCTCTGACCTGATGAGAATCATGGTGTCCTCAATAACATGGAGGCATTTAGGCACAATCATCTATTAAATTAGCCACTTAAGGGGAAAGTCCTAAAGATAAGTCTACACATAAAAACAATTATATTGTTTGGCTTAACTGTCTGATTAATTCAGGAAATATTTACTGAGATGATGAATTCGGAGATGAATATAACAGCATCCTTCACGTTAAAGAACATGTAGTCTACAGAGAAAAAGTGACATACATTGTCATGGATAATATTTATTGAACACTTAAATACATGCCATGTTCATATTTTTGGTGCTTATGTGGATTAGCTCATCTAATTTCCACAACATCTCCCTTTTATAACATCCAGAAAGTCAAGGAGAACACAGCTTTATGACTAGGGACTAGAAAGTAGGAGACTATGAAAAGTGATTAAATATATCTTTAAATATAATATTTATAAGTAAATATCTTTGTATGATGTGTGACTTCAGCATGGGCAGCTTTAATAGAAGACATCAGACTGAGCGAAAAGAAGGGGTGTGGATAATAAGAGAGAGAAAGTCAAGAGTGCAAGGTTTTTTTGGTTGGAAATCAAAAGAGATGGATTGATTGTGAAGATGAATGGAGAAAATTTTCAGGAGCCCACTCTAAGGGGCCATTCAGCTCCTGCTTTCTCCTATCAAATGTATCGATAAAGAGAAGTTGGCATCCTTTGCACAATGAGGCTTGTTGGGTTAGGGTCATGAAATCCTTTTATTTAATGACAGGCATTTTCTAAATCCTAACTGTTACAACACTTAGAGATAATCATTCTTGGACTAATGAGTAATAATCTATCTCTCTCACTTATGACATTTAAAACCAAAGTGAAGAATAAGGCCACAGTATTACAGTTCAGAATGTGAATGAAATCTACATAAATTATGTAAAATATTCATTTTCATTTGTTTTTCTTTTATTTTTATAATTATAAGTTGTGAAGTAATTTATTCTGCCAATAAATATTCTATTCTCTCTTCAATAACAGAATCAGATGGATGGGCATTAAAAACGATACTGAAGGGGTGTCACATATAAAATTTTTTAGGTTGAAATTGCAAATGAGCATCACTCCTGTGTCTTTGCTTCACTGTCCTTAATAGCATGCATGACCTCCCTCATTCCACTGATATTGTGTGAAATATCCGCCCAGATACTTTTCTAGATTAAAGAATGATGGATTGGTTAAGGAATCACAAGGTAAAGTCTTTTTTTCCCTTGAAATTCAGCAGATCAATAATTTATAGAATTGTATACAACAACATGGAAACCATTGCTGAAAAGAGATAGCTTGTTGCCTTTTTAATATTCATGGAGGCCGTCTCTGCATCTCTGCACCTGCCTGAATTTCCACTGGCCCCACATCATATACTCTGCTGTCCTCTGTTTTCACTTGTCATTAAATTTACCAACATTTCATTATCTTTTTATTAGACATCTAGTTTCCTCTGCTATTGCTTTGCCAAATCCATCTTTTTCATTAAGAGTTCTTCCTTTCTTTTATGACATTTAAGGAAATATGTCTAATATTTCATTTGTTAGGCAAGGTAGAACTAAAATTATGCACTTTCATATTTACTTTTAAACCTGAAATAATGGGTTATTTGGCCTAAATCCTTATGACGTATTTTCAAATTAAGAGGTATATATAGGAGAACTGTCCATCATTTACACTTTTAATCATCCACTCCCCTTAAGAATGAGAAATAAAAAGCACACCAATGTAAAGTAGTCAACACACATGCACAAATGTGTCTGTGTTTACAGACACACACCCCCCCCCAAAAAATAATTTGAACTCTTGGGCAGTAGTCACACTTTTGAAGATGACCTACTAACATGATGGAAAAAATAGGATAAAATAGGCAAGGAGGGAAAGGATAGGACCTGAGGTCCCTGGATGGGAAAAACCACTTATTTTGGAACCATGCTGGGAGGAGTGTCTGACCACAGGAAACCCCTCAGGCATAAGTTTCCTCTTGAGAATGTAACAGACCCCCACCTATTCTCCTTCAGATTTCCCTCAGGAATTTGACAAAAGACCTAAGTATGGCCATAGGCTACCCCTTATACAATTGAAACCAGCCAATCAGGAATGGACAACCTAGCGCCTAGAGCTATCAAACCAATAAGGCAGAACCTGAGAAGGAACAAGGGGTAAGGGTGGCAGGAGGGCTGACCAGAACCTTATAAACCAGGACCCCTGGCTCTAAGTCCTTGGGCATTCACTTTCAATGTTTCCTCTTGGGTCACCTGGGTTGCTCACCGGGTGGGAATCAGTTAAGCGACAACTTTGGCTCAGGTCATGATCTTGTGGTTTGAGTTCGAGACCCTTGTTGGGCTCTGTGCTGACAGCTCAGAGCCTGGAGCCTGCTTCTGGTTCTGTTTCTTCCTCTCTCTCTCTCTCTCTCTCCCCTCTCCCCCACCAGCAGTCTGCTTCTCTCTCTCTCAAAATTAAATAAACATTAGAAAAGAAAAATTGAAAAAAGTGCCCCCTTTGTCAAGAGAGCTTTCCTACTATTCTTCCTTCCTAATCTTATACTCTAATAAACTTTTGCCTGTTGCTCATTTTGTGTCCACCTATTCATTCGTCAAAGTGGCAAGATAATGAATCCTGGGTATTGTGGTAAAGAATCCTGCAACACTAGGAAATCCTGACACAGAGCAGATAATATGCCTTTTGAAAGAAAGTTTAAATTTAACTGTAATAGATAGAGTTAACCAGCCAAAATTTTAATTTATGCTAATATATGCCATTACATTTTAATTCAAATGCCTTAAAATGCAATCTACAGCATACATGCAGTATTATTTCATTACTATCAAATATGTAAGTCAAGTTTCACTGTCTATCACTTACCATCAGAAAGCGTAACCACTGTTATATCATCAGTAGATACTCCTGGCCCATAGCGATTATAAGCTAGGAATCGAAGAGTATATTCCGTGAATTTTTTCAGGCCTTCCAGCTTATAAGATAGTCCATCAACCTCTATATTCTGGAGACATAAAATGCCAAACTGTTATTCAGGAGGCACATTAAACAGAAATGGCAGCCATTCTGTGCAATCAGTGAATTGGATATTAGACTCTTACTCACAAAACCATGCTCTAGCCTTATAATGAGTTGTTGTAAAACCTAACTTGTGACACACACTCCCCCACTAAATTCCAAACCACTCTGTAGACTCTTAGTTAAAATAGCACCATGCTATTTTTACAGTCATTAAGTTCCAATGTGTTTAATGCCACCCAATACATTGAATGGTATGCAGTATTCCACCCACACTGAAACTGACAGGCAGAAGGCAGCCTGTGAATCCATGGGAACAGAGAGCTGCTCCTCTACCCTAAATGGAATAAGTCACTAAGAAGAAGTAGATTTCTTCCTTCCCTTGCAGAAATACACCCATGGCTCTTGAAACTGACAGATACTTTGCCATAATCTTTATCTCTCGCAATGCTGTGAGGTGGGCTGGAACTGTTTTCAGCACTTCACAGCTGCAGAAATGAGGTACTGGAGGTGAAGGTCACTGAAAAATCAGAGCCAGTTTGCTCTAGAAGACCCATTATTAGTGTTCCACAGTGATGCTCACATTCACATTTGTCTCCGGTAGCATCATTTCTGAATTTATTTAAGTGGACTGGGGAAATGCATTATGGGAATGCCAAAAATGTAAGAAAATGGAGAGAATAGAAAGCTGAAAGCAAGGGCTAAATAGCATGGGGGTAGCAAACAAACAAACAAACAAAACAGGACACATGATTGTATAGAAGGAGCTCTTAGTAATTCCTATTGTTCAATATAATTTAGGACTTGAACTATTTCTGAATCGGACTGTTGCAAAACATCTTTTAAAAAGCCAAATCTCTATCATGCAGTTTATGTGCAAGCATGAAAACCATACTATGCTTGGCAAGCTTCACAACATATCCTGAGAACTCTGTTATCCCAAGGTCTGCTCTTGATTTTTCTTATTTACCTATGTGTTTGTCTGTATATATTTTTCCACATGAGGCTGAGAAACCAGAAGTAAACATATTAACAGTCATATATATGTCACAAAATAGAATTGCTGAGTTTCATGTGTCTCCTCCAAAATCTAATTAGCCTATTTTCAGTATCTGTGGAACTTGCAGATTAGAAGCAACATGTAAAGAGGCAAGAAGCCTTCTAAGGTAAGGTTTACTGAAAACAATGAAAAGTGAGAGGTGACTACAACCTAATGGTGAGGAAAGGATGGAAATAACTCATTTATAGAATGAAAGCAGCAAGTTGACTGAGGCCATTGAATAAGGGATAAGTCATCCTTATGATAAGGATTGACAACGCAAATGGTTTCTAGGACCAGATAAGTTAATATAAATGTGGCTACACTGGCCTGGGCCACTAGCTATTACAACCAAACAAAACCAAACAAAGAAACAAAAATGCATTCTTTGTAGTGATTTCATCTCATTGCCCATTTGCCTCTCTTATAACCAGAATTCAATTAAATTTCAGTTAAACTGCCCAAAGTTTCTAATAACCAGTACTTAAAAACTGATCAGCTCTCCAATTAACATGGTGGACTGGACCAAGAGTTTGCAGATCCCCTCCTATGCCTCTGGTCCTAGGACCATCCAGTAGGTGGCAGCATTGGGCTCATTCCTTTGCCTACCTGTTCTTTTCCCGTGGACACCTCAGTGCAGAACAATCTGTAACCTTGGACTGGACCATTTGCATAGGCAGGGGGTTCCCAGGTAATAAGAATTGAGGTAGGTGAGGTAGATACAGCTTGCAGGTTTTCTACTGGCCCTGGAACTTGCACTGTGTACAAAAGAAATTGATTAGTATGAGAGGGTTCTCTTTCTCAAAACAAACAAAATAACATCTTTTACAGTTTAGGGATATTATATCCCTATGTACTATTTTAAGAACCAAATGAGATGGAAAAATAAAATATAAAGTAATGAATTTTAGAACCATTTCATTTTGAAATTCAGGAGAGGACTTACATTAATCTAAATTACGTAGTTCATTTTCCATTTGAGGAAACTGGTCAAAGAGTTTAAATGACTAGGAAAATGATAGAAAAGGAGTGGGATTGTTAATCTAAATTCTCAGTATGGAAAATTTTCCTCCATGCCCGTATGCTTTTCCTTGTGTATGAATAATAACCACAGAAGGAAAAGAGAAAATACAATTAGAATACTTGTAGATCATGATTCTACTTATAATTCAAATGAGCAGCACAGCTATGGATAATTTACCACATCTTTATTTAAGTCAGCATTTTAAAATCTTGCCCAATTCTATCCTTTAAATTAATTTTGAGATTTAATTTTCAGTTTTACTTTCCAATATTCCATGTCCTCTCATAACTGCTACTTTACTTAATCAAGAATAAGTAGCTTGTTCATTAAAGAAATTATATAGCACAGGCCCACAACCGCTTAACCAATACTTGTGTCCAGATATGTTTTGAGATCTGGAAATTTTCAGATTTTAGGAAAACAATATGATGCATGTATTACATTTAATACCCCAAGTGGGTCTGTGGTTGCATCCTGTTATCAAATTATACATTTGTAGCAAAATATATGATATTCGCATCAAACAAAATTATTAAAGAATATACATAGCATAGCATCAGGTCAGATTAGTTCAGGGTATGACATGAGTCACGAAATTACTTCAAATTCCAGATTTGCAAAATCTGAATTTGTGCATAATTTTAATTTATACATCTGAATATATAAATATATGGTTTATAAACTGTAAATGCAGTGCTTATGGTAGTTATTGTAATCTAAATTAAATAGTTTCATCATTACAAGTATGATGACAATTTTAACTTAAACATGCTGTATATTTTCCCCAGTCTTAGATTCCACCTAGTTGAACAGATGCACCTTTCAGGCCTCTAATAGAATTTTGTGAGTTTGAACATCCACAGTAAAAGTCTGTGAAAACATGGCCGACAGCTATCTGATAACACAACTTTTTAGATCAGTGTTGCACCTGTATCCCTGGATCAGTCATTTTTCAGAATTTATTCCATGGAACCCAGGATCCTTAAGGCATTACTGTTCACGCATTCATTTGTGGAAAAATATGTATATATTTAGATATTAGAAACCTGTGTTTTATGTCACCTTCACATACTTCCCACCAGTCCCAAAAGCTTGAGTATCCTTGTTATTGACATTTGCCTTTCATCTTAACAAATGACTGCTGACACTTTCTTAAAAACTTAGCTGAAAATCATTTTAAACTTACAGAAAAATTTAAGAAAGAGAATAGTACATAGAACACCTATATTACCCAGATATACATATATTCTCAGGGCACGTGGGTGGCTCAGTTGGTTAAGTGTCAGACACTTGATTTCAGCTCAGATCATGATCTTGTGGTCATGAATCTGAGCCCCGTGTTGGGCTTGGTGCTGACCGTGGGGTCTACTTGGGATTCACCCTCTCTCTGCTCCTCTCCAACTAGTGTGTGTATGCATGCTCTCTCTCTCAAAATAAATAAATTTTACAAAAAGAGATATATATATATTCTCTTTCTCCCTATATACATATATTATTGCATATTTATTTTATATATAGAAAGAGAGAGAGAGTGAGAGGCAGAGACAGAGAATCTGAATTCATTGTCACACACATCATAGCTCTTTACTCCCAAATATTTTAGTGCATATTTCCTAAGCACTAATGTGTACATGAATAATATTAACTTCAGTACATTTCATATTAATACAATACTTTTATCTAATCTTCATCTGCATTCCAATCGTGTCAACAGACCCAATAATGTAACTTAGGTAGGATTTCCCTCTCCAGTTCAGGATCCAGTCTAGGGTCAAGTTTGCATTTCGCTGCCATAACCTCTTTAATTGGCTTTAAGTTGGAACAGTTCCAAAATCCATCTTTATCTTTTAGGTCACTTATACTTTTGAAGACTATAACTGTTTTATTAATTTATTTTTTAACATTTATTCATTTTTGAGAGACACAGAGAGACAGAGTGTGAACAGGGGAGGGGGAGAGAGAGGGAGACACAGAATCTGAAGCAGGCTCTAGGCTCTGAGCAGTCAGCAGAACCCACTGTGGGGCTTGAACTCACGGACTGCAAAATCATGACCTGAGCCGAAGGTGGGAGCTCAACTGATTGAGCCACCCAGGCTTCCTAGCCCTTTTTTAAATTAATAGAATATTCCTAATTTGGGATTTCTTTTTGTTTCTTCATGTTGGATTTATGTCATGTATTGTAGGCCCAAATGAAATAGGAGTGATGTCTATACCTCAGGGCACCATGTCCAGAGGCATAAGACCCCTTTCCCTCCCTGGTTGGTTATGTTAGTTCTGAATACCTGGTCAAGGTGCTTCCAGATTTCTCCACTGTAGCATTAACTGGTCTCTCTATCCCCCAACCCCAATACTGTCTCCACCACTTATAGCCAATAAGCAATTTGTGGGGATATACTATGTCAGGACCATATAAATATCATGCTATTTATCAAATTTTCTTGGAGTTAGCATCTATTAATAGTTTTTGATAAATCAATTTTTAGTATGGTGGTTACAAAATGTTTTTTTCTATTCAAGCACTTCCTCCAAATTAGCCACTTGGCACACACAACAGCCTATTATAAGAACCCATATGTCTATTTATGTTATCTCTTATTGGTATGAGCACATGGATTTCTACTTTTAATGGTCTATAATTCATAATCATCCTTAACCGTTTTGGTGTTCAAATTGTCCAGTTCAAATTTGGCCAGCGGGGTCCTCTTTAAGTTAGTTCCTCTGTCCTTGTAATATGACATATCATTTTTTTAAGCACTTCTTGTCTTCCTGGCATAATATATTCCAGGCTCATCTGGAGTCAAACATGTCTCCAAAGATTTCTTATTCCTTTCGGTGGGGAATGGTATTCAAGACAAAGATCTGGATGTCAGC